AAATCCCTCATTAACACCTTGACCCATCGTGTGGAGTCTATTTTGGTAGGAATGGTCACATATGTGCATGCCCCATCTTCTAAGAGCAATACCATAGTCATGCGCCACATGACAACATTTCAGTCAACAACAGACTGCATATATGATGGTGGTCCCATAAGATTAGTACCAAATATAATGATGTACACCTGAAATTTATATAATGTTATAAACCAATGTAACCTCAATTAAAAAAAAAGATTAGTACCATATAGCCTAGATGTGTAGTAGGCTATACCATCTAGGTTTGTATAAGTACAACTCTATGTTCACACAATGAAAAAATTGCCTAACGACACATTTCTCAGAACATATCCCTGTCATTAAGTGACAAATGACTATACATGTTTTGGAAATGGCAAGAATTCATGCCACCATCAAAGACTTTAAATAAACAGGGGTGATGATACCCATCAAGTCCACATTTAATTCACCTCCCCTTGACATGCAAAGTAGATGCATCATGCAAAATACCTATGGATGATGGTAAATTTAACCAGGAGGTGACTGTAATTACATCTGCTGTTTCAGATATGGTAACTTGATAAACAACCCAACATACCCAGAATCTGCTATGTAACTAGTTCTCAAAAAATGCTTTTTCCTCTATACAATTTTTAATGCCAATCAGAAGTAGTTTATCTGATTGGGTTGTTAGTTTTTTTGTTGTTGAGAAGCATCAGTTCTTTATATATTTTGGAGATGAACCCCTTCAAAATATATAAAACAAAACCTGAAATCAAAAAGGAGAAATATAAAAATCCAAAATCTAGTTGAAGACAACACGTTTTTCTCAGCAAACAACAGTAAATATCAGGAAAAAAATTAGTAAAGAAATAGAAGATTAATGTAACATTAACCTAGACACATAAAAAACATTCACCCAACAAACACGGAATACACATTTTTTCATATTTACCAAAATAGATGTTTATCTACTGACACACTCAACATACTTTAAAGAATAAAAATTGCACTATAAGTTCCTTAACTACTGTGGAATTTAAAATATATACATTAAAAGGAATAAAAAACAACCAAGTGCTTCAAAATTTAAAAAACAACTTTTAATAACCCATGATTAAAAAAAGAAATCAAAATGTTAATGGAAAATATTTTGGACTAACTGCTAATGAATGAAAATACAACAGGAAAAAAACTTATAGGAGGTAGCTAAAGCGACACAAAAATTTTTGGCTTTCAGGGTGTATATTAGAAAATTGGAAACAATGAAAATAATAAATCTATAATCTTAAGAAGTTAGAAAAACAACAGCTAATAAAACCTGTAAAAGTGAAAAAAAAGGAAAAAATTAAGAGTACAAAACAATAAAAAAAAAATCAACAAAGCGAAAACCTGGTTCCTTGAAAAGAATAAAAAACTTGATAAAAATCTAGCAAAACTGACAAGAACAAAGTTGAAAAAACACAAATTGCCAGTATCAGGAATAAAGAAGTAGATATAATTACAGTTCCTATAAACATATAAAGGGAAATGAAAAGATATTATGAACAACTTTATGCCAATAAATTTAAAAACATAAGAAAAACGGATAAATGCCTTGAAAAAGACAATTCACCAAAACTGACACAATTAATAGAAAAACTGAATAGTTCTACCTCTATTAAAAGGATTGAATTTGAAAGCATACATACACAAAGGATTTTGACAGTTAATTCTTCCAAATATTTTTGAGAAAACAGAAAAAACTGTATTGTCAAGAATCAGAGGTCTTATCCTCATTAAACTTTATTAATAACTTCAAGGAAACAGTCACACGGAACGAGCAGTGTAGGGAGAGGTCCAGAACCACCAACAACTACATTTCATACCATAATGAGGGTATGAAGACCTCAGCACTGTAGTCCAAAGGGAGAAAATTCTGACAGTAGATAATCACTCCATAGTGCTTGTCTGCGTTAGCCAGGGTTTGTTCAGGCCTACTAAATAGATGAATTCCTCTGTCTGCAAAACTGGCTTCATCACAGATCCCTTTCCTTTCCAGGTCTTCATCCCTAACAAACATCCTGCACTCTAAACTCCAATTCCATGTCTGCTTCTGGAGAAGTCAAACTATCACAGTGAAGTAACTACTGAAAGCACCTAACAGTCCTGGGGCCAGGAGAACAAAGGAAAGAGGCTGGGTTTATTAGAGTACTAAATTAAAAGAGGTCCGGGGGCCGGCACTGTGGCTTAGCGGTTAAAAGTGTGCAAGCTCCGCTACTGGCGGCCCGGGTTCGGATCCCAGGTGCGCACCAATGCACCGCTTGTCCAACCATGCTGAGGCGGCATCCCACATACAGCAACTAGAAGGATGTGCAACTATGAGATACAACTATCTACTGGAGCTTTGGGGAGAAAAAGGGAAAAAAAGGAGGAGGATTGGCAATAGATGTTAGCTCATGGCTGGTCTTCCTCAGCAAAAAGAGGAGGATTGCCATGGATGTTAGCTCAAGGCTGATCTTCCTCACACACACACAAAAAAAATAAAATAAATAAATTAAAAGAGTTCTTCTGCAGAGCAGGGACCGAGACCTCTAAGGAGGGCAAGTGACCACCTGCTGCTGGTGCTTCAGGAACTCAGAGGAGGACAACCTACCTGCTAACCCTAACTGCAACTCGGATCTCTGCGGGTGTCAGTGGCCAGCTGGTGCCGGTACTTCTAAGGAAGAATGACGGTGGTTTTAAGAGAGCCAACAAAACTGGAATCCAAAACCAAACATGGCTACCACAGTGAATGGCCCCAACCAAAATGACAGTGAGAGTATGTTTTAGCACACATCCATCATTCCGGGATACTTCTACTGCACCCTTTTGGCACAGTTACCTGGAAGAGAGTTGGCCAAACAGAAACAGTGTATGTAGTGACACATCCCGGACATTACATCTTAGAGTAGAAAGGTGGAAGGAGGTTTAGAACTGATAGACATCAGCTTAAAAATGTGTCTTTGTGAGGGCAGATCAAGATGGCGGAGTAGGAAGATCGTGAGCTCACCTCTGCCCATGAACACACCAAAACTACGACTACACACAAAAAAACTGTCTCTGAGAACGACCTGAAGACGAGCGGAACAGATTTTCCACAAGGAAGGATATAAAGAAAAAGCCACATCAGGTCGGGCAGGAGGGGCGGAGACATAGCCTAGTCAGGACCCACACTCCCATGCGGTGACCCACAGTGCGAGGGATATCACAACCGCAGAGGTCCTCCCTGAGGAGCAAGGGGTCCAAGCCCCACAAGGGGCTCCCCAGACCAAGGGACCTGAACCGGGAAGATGAACCCCCATAACGTCTGGCTTTGAAAACCAGCAGGGCTTATGTCTGTGAGAGCTGAAGGGCTGTAGGAAAGACTCCACTCTTAAAGGATGTGTGCACAAACTCACTCACTCCAAGTCTCAGTGCAGAGGCAGCAATTTGAAAAGTGCCTGTATCATATGTGAAGGAGATTCACTGACTAATTTTGGGTGTGTGCTGGTGGGACAGGGATCTGTTGAAACTTTCTCTGGGTACGGAAGCACTAGTGGGTGCCATTTGTTTTACTCTCCTCCTACCTAGCAGGCCCAGCGATAGCGGGTGCCATTTCTGACACTCTCCATCTACCTTGCTAGCACTCCTTGCCCCACCCCGGTGTTCCCCTGCAGACCCACCGTGCCTAACCTGCTGGCCTCAGCCTGTGAGCCTCCAAAGCGGCTCTGACCACACCACACCTGGCACTGGCCTTGGCCGGGACAGAAGCACTTCAAAGTAGCTCCTGTCCTGCCAAACCCAGGGGGCTGTCTCGGCTGGGACTGACATCCCCAGAAAACTGCTTCTGCCCCAGGGCCCCCCGCACACCAGCACACCCCGAGCAGTTGCGGCCAGGCCTTACAGACAGCCACGCTGGGGGACGGCCCTGCACACAGCACACCTACAGCAATTGCATTCCAGCCTCACAGCCAGGCAGCCTGAGGGCCACTCGTGCCCACCATCACGCCTGTAGCAATCATAGCCCAGCTACAACAAGAGGGCACATGTAGCCCACAGAGAGGCCACAACTGGAGCACCTGGCTCTGGTGACCAGGGCGTCCTGTGCTACTGGGCCCCACAGGATATCTTCCACAAAAGGCCACTCCTTCAAGACAGGGAGTCATAACAGATCTACCTAATAAATAGTGTGGGAGATCAAGATTTGGCCACCCTGAAATATATCTCTTTACCTGGATTGTTTTCTCTGAGGGACATTTGACCTCCCCCACTAACTTCCTAAAGAATTTGACATGGTGGCTCCTTCCTGGAACAAATCTTCTACCATGATGGCTATAATGATAATGTAAGGTAGGTGTTACAATGGGAGGGGCACCAAGCCCCTTTTATCAAAAAACTCTCTCTCTCCCTGACCACATTATCTACACATGACCCTGAAAAGAACTGTCTTCTTGCCCTCTGAAGTCCCAGACCACTACCCACACCCAACACCTTCCTCGTCTTTAGCTACAATACTTAAGCAAGCAGCTTAGACAGAGGAACGAGTTGCTCATTTCTGAGTTTCTCCCATGTATACATGGTATTAAACTTGGTATTATTTTCTCCTGCTAGCCTGTCTTGTTAATTATTTGGCCAGCCATAAGAACCTTAAGGAAAAGGGCAGAGGGAGAGTCTCCCTCTCTCCCAACAATAGACAGACAAAGAGTTAGGCCAAATGAAGAGACAGAGGAATATATTCCAAATGCAACAACAAGACAAAACCTCAGAAAAAGAACTAAACAAAATTGAGATAAGCAATCTACCAGATAAAGAATTCAAAGTAATGGACATAAAGATGCTCACTGAACTCAGGAAACAGATGGATGAACACAGTGAGAACTTCAACAAAGAGATAGAAAATACAAAAAAGAACCAACCAGAGCTGAAGAATACAATAACTGAAATTTGAAATACACTAGAGGGAATCAATAGCAGATTACATGACGCAGAAGAATGGATCAGCCATCTGGAAAACAGGGTGAGGGAAATCACCCAATCACAACAACAGAAAGAAAAAAGAATTTAAAAAAGCACAGATAGTTTAAGGGATCTCTGGGACAACATGAAGCATACTAACATTACCATTAAAAGGGTCCCAGGGGCTGGCCTGGTGGTGCAGGCAGGCATGCCATGCTGTGGCGGCGTCCCACATAAAGTGGAGGAAGATGGGCTTGGATGTTAGCCCAAGGCCAGTATTCCTCAGTAAATAAAAAAAACAGAAGAGGATTGGCAGACGTTAGCACAGGGCTAATCTCCTCACAAAAATAAAAATAAAAATAAAGGGGTCCCAGAAGGAGAGTGAGAGAAAGGGACAGAAAACCTTTTTGAGGAAATAATGGCTAAAAATTTTAATTTGGGCCAAGGAAACAGACATCCAAGTCCAGGAAGCACAGAGAGTCCCAAATAAGATGAACCCAAAGAGACTTGTACCAAGACACATCATAAATAAAACATCAAAAGTTAAAGAGAGAATCTTACATGCAGCAAGAAAAAAACAACTAATTATATACAAGGGAACCCCATAAGACTATTAGTTGATTTTTTTAGCAGAAATTTTACAAGCCAGAGGGAGTGGCATGATACATTCAAAGTGCTGAAAGGAAAAGACTTGCAGACAAGAATTCTCTTACTTGGCAAGGTTATCATTCAGAATTGAAGGAGAAACAAAGAATTTTCCAGATGAGCAAAAGCTTAAGGAGTCCATCACCACCAAACCAGTCTTACAAGAAATGTTAAACAGACTTCTTTAAACAGAAAAGTAGAGGCCATAACTAGAAATAAGGAAATTATGAAAGAAAAGATCTCATTAGTAAAGGCAAACATATACTAAAGGTAGTAGATCAACCACCTATATAGCTAGTATGAAGGTTAAAAGACAAAAGTACTAAAAATCATCTATATCTACAATAATCAGTTAAGGATACACAAAATTAAAAGATGTAAAATACGATGTCAAAAACATAAAACATGGAGGGGGGTAAAAATGTAGTACTTTTAGAATGCACTCGAACTTAAGTGACCATCAACTTAAAATAGACAGCTATATATGAACCTCATGGTAACAACAAACCAAAAACCTATAATAGGCACACAAAAAATAAAGAGAAAGGAATGCAAACATACCACTAAAGAAATTCATCAGATCACAAGGGAAGAGAGCAAGAGAAGACAGGAACAGAGAACTACAAAAACAACCAGAAAACAATTAACAAAATGGCAATAAATACATACCTATAAATAACTACTTCAAATGTAAATGGACTCAATGCTCCAATCAAAAGACAAAGGGGGACTGAATAGATTAAAAACAAGACCATACATATGCTGCCTACAAGATACTCACTTCAGATCTAAAGACACATTCAGACTGAAAGTGAAGGGATGAAAAAAGATATTCCATGCAAATGGAAATGAGAAGAAAGCTGAGTTAGCAATATTTATATCAGACAAAATAGACTTTAAAAAAAAGACTGTAACAAGAGACTAAGAAAGGCATTACATAATGATAAAGGGATCAATCCAACAAGAGGATATAACATCTGTGAATATTTATGCACCCAACATAGAAGCACCTGAATACAGAAAGCAAATACTCACACAAATAAAGGAAGAAATCTACAGTAATATGTTAACAGTGGGGCACTTGAACACTCTATTTACATCAATGGATAGATTATCCAGACAGAAAACCAATAAGGAAACAATTGGCCTTAAACAACACATTAAACCAGATGGGCTTCATAGAAATATAGAGAACAATATATACAGAACATTCCATCCCAAAACAGCAGAATACATATTCTTTTCAAGTGCACATGAAACATCCTCCAGGATAGAGGACATGTTAGGCCACAAAACAGGTCTCAATAAACTTAAGAAGACTGAAATTGTGTAAGCATCTTTTCCGACCACAATGGTAAGAAACTAGAAATCAATTACAAGAAGAAAACTGGAAAAAAACACAAAAATATGGAGGTTAAACAACATGCTACTAAACAACCAAGGAGTCAATAAAGAAATCAAAGAGGAAATCAAAAAATACCTTGAGACAAGTGAAAACAGAAACAAAATGTTTCAAAATCTATGGGATGCAGCAAAGGCAGTTCTAAGAAGGAAGTTTATAGTGATAGAGGCCTACCTCAGGAAAGAAGAAAAATCTCAAATAAACAACCTAACCTTACACCTAAAGGAAGTAGAAAAAGAAGGTCAAACAAAGCCCAAAGTTAGCAGAAGGAAGGAAATAAAGATCAGAGTAGAAATAAAACATTAGAGGCTTAAAAAAAAAAATAGAAAAGATCAACAAAACAAAGAGCTGCTTCCTCAAAAACATAACAAAATTGATAAATCTTTAGCCTGACTCACCAAAAAAAAACAAAAGAGAGAGAGAGAGGGTCCAAATAAATAAAATCAAAAATGAAAGAGAAGTTACAACCGACACTACAGAAACACAAAGGATCATAAGAAATAACCACGACCAATTATACGCCAACAAATTGGACAACCTAGAAGAAACTGATCAATTCCTAAAAACACACAATTTCCCAAGACTGAGTCAGGAATAAATAGAAAATCTGAACAGACTGATTACTAATAATAAAATTGAATCAAAAATCAAAATCTCCATTGGGGCTGGCCCAGTGGCATAGTGGTTAAGTCCACACACTTCGCCTTGGCGGCCAGTGGTTCGCGGGTTCGGATCCCAGGCGCGGACATATGCACTGCTTATCAAGCCATGCTGTGGCAGGCGTCCCACATATAAAGTAGAGGAAGATGGGCACAGATGTTAGCCCAGGGCCAATCTTCCACAGCAAAAAGAGAAGGATTGGCAACAGATGTTAACTCAGGGCTAATCTTCCTCACACACACACAAAAAACACTCCCAACAAACAAAAATCCAGGACCAGATGGTTTCACAGGTCAATTCTACCAAATATTTAAAGGATTAATACCTATCCTTCTCAAACTATGCCAAAAATTGAAGAGGAAAGAACACTTCCAAACTCATTCTATGAGGCCCACGTTACCATGATACCTGAAGCAGACAAAGATACTACAAAAAAAGAAAATTACGGGCTAATATCCCTGGTGAACACAGATGCAAAAATTTCAACAAAATATTAGCACATAAAATTCAACAATACATTAAAAGGATCATACACCATGATCAAGTGGAATTTATCCCAAGAATGCAAGAAGGGTTCAATATCTGCAAATCAATCAACATGATACACCACATTAACAAAACAAAGGAAAAAAATCATCTCAATAGATGCAGAAAAAGCATGTGACAAAATTCAACATCCATTTATGATAAAAACTCTCAACAAAGTGGGTATACAGGGAACATACCTCAACATAATAAAGGCAAACCCACATATGACAAACCCACAGCTAACATCCTACCCACATATGACAAACCCACAGCTAACATCCTACCCACATATGACAAACCCACAGCTAACATCCTACTCAACAGTGAAAAGCTGAAAACTTTTCCTCTAAGATCAGAAACAAGACAAGGATGCCCACTCTCGCCACTTTTATTCAACATAGCATTGTCTTAGCTACAGAAATCAGACAACAAAAAGAAATAACAGGCATCCAAATTGCAAAGAAAGAAGTAAAACTGTCACTATTTGCAGATGACATGATACTATATAGAGAAAACTCTAGGACTACACCAAAAAAATATTAGAACTAATAAATGAATTCAGTCAAGTTGTAGGACACAAAATCAATATACAGAAATCCGTTGCGTTCCTATACACGAACAACGAACTATCAGAAAGAGAAATTAAGAAAACAATCCCAGGGGCCAGCCCCGTGGCTTAGCAGTTAAGTGCGTGTGCTCTGCTACTGGCGGCCCGGGTTCGGATCCCAGCGCGCACTGACGCACCGCTTGTCTGGCCATGCTGAGGCAGCATCCCACATATGGCAACTAGAAGGAGGTACAACTATGAGATACAACTATCTACTGGGGCCTTGGGGAGAAAAAGGGAAAATAAAGGAGGTGGATTGGCAATAGATGTTAGCTCAGGGCAGGTCTTTCTCAGCAAAAAGAGGAGGATTGGCATGGATGTTAGCTCAGGGCTGATCTTCCTCACACACACACACACACAAAAAGACTGTAGCACCTAAAAAAAAAAAGAAAACAATCCCATTTACACTTGCATCAAAAAGAATAAAATATCTAAGAATAAACGTAACCAGGGAGGTGAAACACCTGTACTCTGAAAACTCTAAGACACTGATGAAAGAAACTGAAGATGACACAAATAAATGCAAAGACATACTGTGCTCATGGATTGGAAAAATTAATATTTTTTAAATGTCCATACTACCCAAAGCAATCTACAGATTCAATGCAATCCCTATCAAAATTCCAATGGCATTTTTCATACAACTAGAACACGTAATCCTAAAACATGTACGGAACTGCAAAAGACCTCAAATAGCCAAAGCAATCTTGAGAAAGAACAAAGCTGGAGGTATCATGTTTCCTGGTTTCAAACTATACTACAAAGCAACAGTAATCAAAATAGTATGGGACCAGCACAAAAACAGACACGAAGATCAATGACAGAATAGAGAACACAGAAATAAACCCACAATTCTATGGCAAATTATCTTAATATTAGAAAGGAGGCAAGAATACACAATGGGGAAAAGACAGTCTCTTCAATAAATGGTGTTGTGAAAATTGGAGAGCTACATGCAAAAGAATGAAACCGGACCACTTTCTTAACACCACATACAAAAATTAACACAAAATAGATTAAAGACTCGAATGTCACATCAGAAATCATAAAACTCCTACAAGAAAACATAGGCAGTAAACTCTTTGATATCAGTCTTAGCAGCATAGTTTTGGATATGTCTTCTCAGACAAGGTCAACAAAAGCAAAAATAAACAAATGGGACTTCATCAAACTACAAAGCTTTTGCACAGTGAAAGAAACCATCAACAAAATGCAAAGGCAACCTACTGAATGGGAGAAGATATTTGCAAATGATATATCCAATGAGAGTTTAATATCCAAACTATATAAAGAATTCAGACAACTCAATATAAAAAAAAATCTGATCTAAAAAATGGGCAGAAGATCTGAATAGACGTTTTACCAAAGAAGACATACAGATGGCCAACAGACACGTGAAAAGATTCTCAACATCAGTGATCATCAGAGAAATGCAAATCAAAATCACAATGAGCTATCACCTAACACCTGTCAGAATGGCTATTATCAAAAAGACAACAAATAACAGCTGTTGGTGAGGATATAGAGAAAGGCAAACCCTCGTGCACCGTTGAGGGGAATGTACACAGACTGGTGAGGCCACTACGGAAAACCCGTATGGAGGTTCCTCAAAAAAATTTAAAACAGGCCTATCACATGATCCAGCATTTCCACTTCTGGGGATTTATCCAAAAAAAAATGAAAATACTACTTTGAAAAGATATATGCACCCCTATGTTCACTGCAGCATTATTTACAAGCACTAAAACATGGAAGCAACCTAAGTTTCCATCGACAGATGAACGGATAAAGATGACGTGGTATACATATACAATGGAATATTACTCAGCCATAAAAAGGAATGAAATATTGCCATTTGCGACAACATGGATGGACCTATGCTAAGTGAAATAGGCCAGACAGAAAAAGACAAATACCATATGATTTCACTTATATGTGGAATCTAAAAAAGAAAACAAAGGAACAAATAAAACAAAACAAACTCACAGATACAAAGAGCAAACTGGTAGTCACCAGAGGGGAGGGGAGTGTGGAGATGGGAAAAATAGCTGAGGGGATTAAGAGGTACAAACCTCCAACTTGAAATGTTACGGGGATGTCATGTACAGCATAGGGAATAGAGTCGATATTACTGTAATAACTCCGTATGGTGACACATGGTTACTAGACCTATCATGGGGATCAGTTTGTAAAGTACATTAATGTCAAATCGCTATGTTGTATGCCTGAAACTAACATAATATTGTATGCCAACTGTAATCCAATTTTTAAAAAAGTGTCTTTGCTCAGGAAAAATAAAGAGACGGCTTCCAGAAAAAATGCACTTTTAATATTGTTTTAAACACCGAAGAGTAAGTGAGAACATCCTAGGAATCCTTTGGTGTAATATGAATGTTTATGATCCTGGCCAGAGGGATCCTTAAAGTTTTCTTTAAACAGTCAGACATGCCCTAATGTTTCTCTACTACTAAAAGAAAAACTAGAGATATTTTTAACGAAGGAGGCTTGTCTTCCTTTTCTTCTTGATTTACTCATCTTCCTCACTCTCCTCTTCTTCCTCTTTCCCCTCCTCCTCTTTTGTGTGTTTCTTATAAAGCACAAGGCAGCAAAATAAAATTAAAAGAATCAAAGGAATAAGCCACAATACTGACAGGTAACCCACCTTATCTTGTACTTCTAACTCTTCCATCTGGTACTTAGGAGGTGGGCCGCTATCATCACTGCCTCCATTGCCTTTGTGCTCGCAGTACGGAGGTGCCCATCCACGGTTGCAGTGGCAGTGCTGTTTATTATTGCAGACTCCCTTCATGCTGCAGGTCTCAGGCTTACAGTCATGGGAAGGAAAAACCATATCGACACACTGCTTGCGGATGCACATCTTTTCTGGACCACACACTGTGCCATCTTTCACTTGACCAATATCAGGTATGGACATCCCTAAATGATAATCGGTGCCCCAGCAAGTGGTGTTATTGAAGTGAACCTGATGCACTGTAGAATGTCCTATCAGTTTAGGAATTACTCCCACATTTTCACATTGAATTCTGCCACACAGGATATCAGAGGGATTACATTTTACGTATACTGTGCCTTTTATATCACAGTGACCAAATCGATTTCCTTGGGTGTTGATTTCCTGGTAGCAATTCTGAGATGCACTCCTTGCATCTTTACCAAAAATCTCCCTGCACTGTCCGTCATGGTTATTACAGCTCTTTTGATAGCAGTAGGCACCGTCACTACAGGGAATCCCATCCTGCACATATACGTCGTCTGGGCACTGATGGGATGTCCCATTGCACCACTCTGGAAGGTCACATTCACCGATCTGTTGTCGGCACAAAGTCCCTGATGGCATCATCTTGCAGTCTTTGCAACAAAGCCCAAAAGCACAAGCAGCTCCAGACTTCAGAGTGCAGTTCAGTAGACAACAGGGATCATTTACACACTGGTGTGTGGTCCCACAGTCACACTCCTCTCCTTCTTCAACCACTAGGTTCCCACAAAACTTCACCCTAAAGATATTCCCTGGACGTGGAGGAGGGTGAATACATAATCCAGTGCGGAAAGTATTGTCCCAATACTGGGCATAACTGCAGTTGCTGAATTTATTTGTAACCTGTCTGGAGGGATACATTATGCACCACTGAAGTGCACACACACACCATTGATCATCATGCTCCATACCCAAATTATGACCAAGCTCATGGGACACAACAAGTGCAAAAGAAAACAGACTTTCATCTTCGAAAACATCAACTCCAGAATTAAAAGGACTCTGGCATATTCCTCCAACGTAGGCAACACCAAGCTTTATGCCAAATGATTTTTTTATGAAAAGATGGGCAGCATCATGTGGCAGTCGGGCCTCAAGTTGAAAAGACTTCCAAACAGCAAAATCAATCACAAGCTTATCTATGTCATCTGTGGCAACTGGGTTTCCTTCATTCCAGATCTCCATCCCAGTCAAAATTACATCAAGCTCGAGAGGTCGATAGAGGATATCCATTATATTGACGACATTAAATATTTCGTACTGCACTACTGACACATTACTTTCAGAGTGAACGTATCGAAGATGGTCTACGACCACTACCAGCTCAAGAAACCGCAAGTGAGTCCACCAGCCTGTATAAGAACTTTGCATCAGAGTGGAATTATACGACTCTTGCATCTTCAATTGGCGTGCTATTTCCTCTTCTGTTAACCCACATCTCATGGGTGGGAAGTGTGTATCATCGTTGTCTATCTTGTAGACCAGGTGTTCAAATGTGGCAGAAAACCTAATTGGCTCGATTTCATAAGCAAGGTCATTTATCTGTAGCATTCCTCGAAAGCCCCCAGAACAGGTACTGAGGGCAACCAGGGACTCGGGGACCCCCTCCACATAACCATGATAGTAGCAGTCATCAGGAACAAAAGGCTGATCCTGGTGGAGGGCACCCTGGTCTGTGTAGGTGAACACCGGCAGATGTCTGGAAACCAAGAGTTTCTTGACCTTCAAGTGGACAATGTGTCTCTGGCCCCCAAACCGCAGGCTGTAGTAGAGCCAGCCAGGAGCCTCTGCACCTCTGCTGCTGCCAGTCACCTTCAAGGGGATCACCAATTCTGGGGAGAAGTGGTGCTGGGAGGGCCTGGATTGAGAGCATCCAGAAATGGACACAGACACCCCACACCAGAGCAGCAGGAGAGTGACCCTGATGTGCACCAGGGTCTCACCCACTGCCATTATGGAGCTGTCGTTATGGAGCCATCTGTCCAGAGCAGAAAAGCAGGGCATGAGGCACTGCTGGTCTGGCTCCTCCCGAGTCTGAGCTGCTCAGGGTGTGGGGCTGACCTTTATGGATCTGTGTCCTAGCAGGGCTGGATCATCAGAGCTGCAGTGCTGAAAGTGAAAATAGAAAGAAGAGCTAGGGTGGATGGGTAGCAGAGGGAGGGTGGGAGAGAGAGAAAGAAGAAACTAAGTAAAAGTGATTCTTTAGTTGGGACAAGGCTTGAATCTATAAAACATGAGATTGTCTCTTCTTATATATAAGTAAGGGGAGGGAATGGGGAAGGGCAGGTTTCTAGGGGAAGAGCTAGATGAAGGAGATTCGTCACAGGTGGATAAGTGTTGAACCTGGATGGTGGATACATAAGGATTCATTACATACTGTTCTCTTAACATGTAAACGGGCATGAAATTTTCCATATTAAAAAAGGTGACATCCGACTCCCAAATTTTGCCTCCAGCTAAAAATCTACTGGTACCCTGCTATCTTCAGCAAGCATGTGGATAATCCATCCAAAACCCACCATTTTTTGTCCCTTTATTCAGATCATTTGTTCAATCTCCCCTTTTCTTCTACAGACAACTTCTCTAGCCCCTATTCTGTTTGAAGTGAGGAGTCAAAGTAAGCCCCATTTAATGTACTCATTACTTTGGGAGACCCCCTCCAATCAAGACAAATTTTTACCTGCAGAAAAGCCCTGGACAGTCAAAGGAAGGCAGCCACACTGATGGGGTAGCAGGGAGCGGGGCTGCTATTCTGGGGCAAGGCAAAGAGCCCAATTGCCTCCAATCACAGCAAGGAGGCAGTAGCCTGCTCTCCACCCAGACCAGCTGCATCATGTTCTCAATCATAAGAGACCTCATCTTGGTTGTGTAAATATAGACTCTATTCTGTTTTTCACATGGCAGGTGAGTTAGCTGAATTCTCTAGAGAAAGCTGGATTGAGGAGTTTAAACCTAGAGTCAGTACATTAAAATATTCAGAAGACCATAATTCGAGTGGACTTACATCATTCCTGCTGAAAATAAAAAGTTTAGCTCACATAAAAGCTAATTTTGCTTATTTGCTGACTTTCAGTTAAAAGTAACAATAATTTGCTTAATATTTGAAAGCAAAAGTTAAAACAAATCTGGAGACGATTTAAACACACAGTGGTGGCCTGAATCTTCTCAATAAGAACACAAATGGGATCAGCAGTATAGAGCATGAGACATAGCCTCGGCATTCTGATATCAAGAACACATGTATACATCTGGATACTTCTGCAGAACTAATGGATGACTACTGGAAACCAAGAATACTAGATGACCCTCTTAGGGAAAGCATCTCTGATAGAGGTGAAATCCTAATTACTAGGTTTTTTATCCAAGTCTCTTCAGGATATGCTTGGTATTTGCTGCAGATGTGGGGATATTAAGATAGGAGCGCATGAGCTGTAAGAGGATTAATAAAGATAAAGCATCATAAAGAGTAAAATAACCTGTATTAAGCTTTGTCAGAAATATGATGTGGTAGAAACAGAAAAGTCCACTGCCAAGAATCTTTGAGACACACCAGGCTTTGCCACCATTGCACTGCTCCAAAGACAAGCCCTGAAGTAACACGGCTTTACCAGTAATCATGTGACTGGTGTCACTCCAAAGCCCTCCCTTCTAATATAACTGGCACTTCAAGCAGAGTGAGAACCTTCCTCTGCATCAGTCGTCAATTCTTTCTTCTGTTTCCAGCAGCTAATTCAAACTCCTCAAAACCCTTATCTCACCATATCTCTACTCTCTCTCAGTCACGGCCCAATCCAGTGTTTCTAAAACTTGGGTCACAAACCACACAGCATCATGAAATTGATTCAGTGGGTCACAACTAAATGAAACACAATAAAGTAGAAAATATCAGGGAACGTCACTCAGATCAGTGTCACCTGCTATTACCTGTCACCACAGAAGCTACAGCAGCATTCTGCTGACACTTCTTATGCTAATTATCAACTATTTTCTGAACTCCAAAAGTAAAATTAATACTGTGTCTATGAAGCTGGAGATGGGAATCTGCATATCGTATTTCTCCATTGCTATTTGGCTTCCTAAAGAGTTTTGCCAAGAAGCGTACTAGAGGGAGAATACAAGGCAAAAGGAGAGGTCAAGGGACTTTTTACTACCTATTTACCTGTTGTTACTTTTTGTGAATCTCCAGCAATGGTGCCTGGCTCTGGTGGTGAGAGTTGGTTACCACAGTCCCAGGACCAGCTCCATCAAGGCCTGTCAAAGGCACAAGTACCCGGTGCACACTGCGCCCTCCTCAGAAGTCTGAAAACCAGATGTACACAGCCATCCTCTAGTACCCTAAGCAACCCACACCAGCCAGCATCCCTTTCTCAGATGTTCCCAGCCACACCACAAAGCGTCTTGATACAAGCCCCACGTGTGTGGCACCTCTCTCTCCAAGAGTCACAGTTTGGAAGACCTTCTTCCAAGTCCCCAAGGAACCAGCACCAGCTCAGCTTTACCTTAGAAGAGGTACAGCTTTCAGCTGCACAGTTCCCTTTTCTGAGTTTCTAAATTGCCAGCATCAGCTGGGCAACGCCCTGTCTTCTAGAGTCCAGGTCCAGATCGATGAGGACCACTATGAGAGTTTCTAGGTTATGATGACCCCAACCTCTTCCCTTTGCTCCCCCCTTCTTAGCGTGGAGCTCCTTCTGGCAACTCAGACCTCTGTGTACCTCAAGGTGCCCTTTCTATCTTTTCAGTTCTCTAACACCTTGTCAAGAATTCCCTATAACAATTACACCTGGTAGGTTTCTCGTTTCTGGACTAGATCTTGACAGATACAGGATTGGTACCAAGGGTGCTGCCAAGAGAGACAGACTAAATGAGACTCTGGGATTGGTTTGGCCATGTCCATGGCTTTAACACACTGCTGAACTCCTGTCCAGTGGGGAATGGGCAGGTAGTGGCATCACAATCAATTAAATTACCACCCCATATTGATTGTGACAAAGCACCCTACTGAAGCAAGTGTGTGGGGGACCAAGTGAGGGTTGTGATGATGACTACAGTTACCTCGAGAACTGAGCGGCAAAGCGGCCATACTGAATTCTATTGGAGAATTTGCACAATGACGCTCAAGGCTCTAAATTCTCAGCTCAGAGAGCTGCCAATGGTGGACCTAAAAGAATCTCTCATTTATTTTAGCCACAGGGCCAACCTCACAGGAAATCAAATTTAATTGTGGAGTTACAGAATCACAACGTACGTTGAATACGTAGATTCACCAAGACTCTAGTGGGAAAATTAGGGCACTGACTAAGAAGGGAAAAAACTTGAAACTTGCAAAGGGGATTCCTGGTGGACGAGATTGATTCTGATCATCTAGATCCTCCCAAGTATCCCTGAGGCTCCCTCCCCAGGGAGAGAACCCAGACCTCTCCTGTCTGAGAAATTTAGTCACCTCTGGCTCGAGAACCTGCAATTATCTCAGCTGGGGAAGTTATCCTGCAACGGGATGCCCAGTCTCCTCAAGACATGGTAAAATTCAACAGGAATTTATGTCTACTTAATAAATAGCTTCAAAATATATAAAGCAAATGTAGAGAGATCAAAAAGAAGAAACAGAAAAATCAAAAATCTACTTGTAGGTATTAACACACTTCTATCAGAAACTGATAGAACAATCAGACAAAACAAATGAACAAGGAAATAGAGGATTTAAGCAAGGTTAATCAAATTAACCTAACTGACACATAAATCACTATACCCCCAAATTGCAAATACTCATCAGATTCAAACGCACATGAGATATTTACCAGAACAGATGGTATCCATGGTCATAAAGGAAGACTCAACAAATGGTACAAATAAAAATTGCATAATGCATGTTCCTTAACTACATAAGTTAAGAAAGCAAACTGAATAAGGAAAAAGAGCTAGAAAATAGTTTTGCTTCAAATTAAATAACAGCTTTCTAAATAAGACTTGGTCCAAATATGATCAAAATGTGTAATTGAAAACATTTCAGTCTGAATGAAAATACAACATATTAAACTTGTAGACTCCAGTTCAAGCAATGCTTATCTGGAAATTTCTGGCTTTTGGAGTATATGGAAAGGAGAAAGATTGAAAATATTTTATATAAGATATAATGTCACAAAGATAACAGCTAATTAAACTTTAAGAGTAGAATAAAACTTAAAAATAAAGATGAGAGTACAAAACAATAACAGAATAAACACATTAGAAAGAAAATCATCAAAGCCAATAATCGGTTCCTTGTAGGGAACTGACAAACACCTAGCTATAACGATCAAGAACTAAATGGAGAAAACACAAATTGCCAGTATCCATTCCTATAAACACAAAAATTAATGGAAAATAAATAACTTTATGTCAATAAATTTGAAAATTGAGGCAACATGGGAAAATTCCTTGAAAACCCAAGTAACAAAATTGACAAAAGTAATAGAAAATCTAAATAGTTCTACATTAGAGATTGAATCTATATTTAAAATATAAATTAAAAACAATATACCTTTTCACAAAACCTCTGGAACAGTGGATTCTTTAAAGAGGTAATACAAATGACTGGATAGTGATAAAACAAAGATATATCCTTATCAAGCTTTACTCATAAAGCTTCAACAATAGTAACCTAAAAGCAATGACTGAATGGGAATTACAGACATTTGTGCCATGATCGAAGACTTTGAAGATACAGGGATAACAATACCAATCACACCTGTATTCAACTCCCTTGTTTCACATGTGCAAGTGAGTTGATCTTCCTACAGTAGGCAGGAGTGACTGTAATCACACTTGCTAGTTTAGTGTCATTTCTTTACCAACCACCTAACATAGCCAAATTCATTATGTAGCTTGTTACGAAGGGCTGAAAGGAAAAGGTAAATCATGAGAACACTAAAATGTAGACAAGTAAACAATGCAAACATTAACAAAAATAAATCTGATGAAACCATACCCAAAGATGTCAAGGCGAAGTATTGACAGCGATACAGAGGTATTAATCAAGGTAGAGAAGAATATATTTAATATGGTAAAAAGAACCATTTCACAGTATTTTGTATGCTGCTAATAGAATAACTTCAAAATATATGAAGCAAGAGTGAAGATACCAAAAAGAAGAAATTGAAACTCCAGTATCCTATTTGGAGATGTCTACTCAGAACAAGCAAAAAATAAGTAAAGACATAGAAGAATTTAACAATATTAATCAAAATGACCTATCTGAAACATATAAATTTAACACTATACTTAAAAATTGCAGAATACACATTATTTTCAAATGCATATGGGGCATTTGCCGGAACTGATGATATCCATAGCCATAAAGCAAGTCTAAAAAAATCTTAAAGAAAACAAATTGCACAATGGATACACTTCCAGTCTCCACTCGGGCATGTAAAGAGCTTGCAAATCATCATTCCCACCCTCACAAAAAGAACAAAAGCCAAACAAACTGAAAATCAATGACTTTTCTTAATCCATCAGCGAAATGAGGCCGCAGGACACACTGGAGAAACAGGCTCACGCAGAGAATACTGATGAGCCTCCCTGAGGACGTGGATGGAGCTAGTTAACACTTAAACAGTGACTTCAATGAACTGCTGGAGCCAGGCTGTAGACCAGCATCAGAGTTAATATTCCTGCGGGCCCACTCTAAGGGGAGCTTCTACACTGTTGTTAAGTCTGACCTCCAGGAAACCTACTAGGTTCTCATAGTAAAGATCAAAAAAAAAAAAACAAACCATATGTTTGACCAAGAAGAGGAGAAAAGTGACCTTTTTGAAATATGGTGAGGAGAACAATAACCATTTTGAAATACACTCAGAGTGTCCTCAAAACACAGGTCTAACCAGTAAGGGAAAAGACTTCACCAGAGCCTTATTCAACTAGAGGGAAAGGGAATTACCCAACTCCAGTCCTCTCTAGCCCTCCTATCTCACCTAAGGCAAGGAGGAAGTTTAAATGCATTGTGAAGTTCACAGCCCAGGGGCATAGGACCACTACTAGACTGAGATCTAATCTTAAGGTTATAGAATGCTTCCCTTCCTCCCACACCTTAGACCACATTGAAAGGTCTCCTGTATAATAAGTGGATTACAGCTGAAAGAAGTAAAAGGCACAGGCTCGATTTAAGGAGTTACTCAGGAAATCCTAAGACAACATGGGAAACAAAAACAAGGACACTAGAGGAAATTAGAACCTTTAACACCTACGGCTATGGGAAATAGTACACACAGCCTAGTTCCCAGTCAGAGAAACACAAGAGGCCTATCTACCTCAGTTTCTATTACCCAATCCATCATTTCTGGCTTTCAGTGAAAAATTACAAGGCATGCTAATAAAAGGCAGGAAAAAACACAGACTGAAAAGACAAAACAAACATTAGAACCAGACTCAGATATGGCAGTTTTTGGAATTACCTGACTGGAAATTTAAAATGACTATGATTAATATGTTAAGAGGTATAAGGGAAGAAGCGAACAACATGTAAGAAGCGATGAGTAATATAAGCAGAAAGATGGAAACTCTAAGAGAAAAATGTTTTTAAGTGATAGAAATCAAAAACACTGTAACAGATATAAAGAATGCTTTCAAGGGCCCAGAAAGAAAACGGAAAAGGCCAAAGAAAAAAACAAGGAACCCGAAAAAAACGCAAAAAGAAAGTCCTAAAACAAAAAGCAAAAGAAAAAAAATTTAAAAAAAACAAAAGAACCAACAACAACCGTAGGACTATAAAAAAAAGAACAAAAAAAAAACAAAAAAAAAACAAGGAGAAGAAAAAAAAAAGAAGAAAAAACAAGTCGAAGAAATAATAAGGAAGAAGAGTCCAAAAAAAATAACAAAAAAAACAACACAACAACACCAAGAACAGAAAACAACAAGAAGCAGAAAAAACAACAAAAAAACAACAAGGGAGACTTGGGGTTACTGGTGCAGCATGTACAGAGAATGGAAGTCATCACCCCATCCTAACAAGAAGTAAAAAGCTTAACAAACTAAAAGTTAATAACTCCTTTTAGATCCATTGGAGAACTGAGTTCATGGGAAAAACTGTTGTCCCCAAAATTGAAGAGACCAACAGTGAATACAAAAAACCACACGCTACCAGAGCAGAAACCCACAGGCAGAAATCTCTGTGGGAAACTGGAATGGGATAGGAAAACCTAAACTATAATTGACAAATTGCTGGAGGCTAGATGTGGACAAATCTGAGAGTTAAAAACTACAGGGAGGGCCAGTTTAGGGGGACCCTCACACTTTTATGAGTTTTACCTCCAGGAGCGCTACCTGGTTCTCACACTGAAGTCAAAATCCCCTCATAGTCGTGGCAGGGGGAGGCAAAAGTAGCCATATTGAAATACATCCACAGTATTCTGTCCTTCTTCACAAGGCTTCAACAGCAACTACTTTCCCACAGCCTAATCTACTGGGGTTTTATCAACGCCCTACTGGGCTAAGGGAGGCAAAATACATGACTCCAGCCCCCTCTAGCCATCCTGTTCCACCTAGGAGGGGTAGAGGAACTGAGAAACACTTTTGAGGGTCACAGTCCAGGGACACAGGCTACTTAAACACTCAGACCTAATTATAGAACTATCCTTTGCTTCTCATCCCTCTATACATTACCACCACATCACTAAAGGCCTACATACTATACGCCAATATACTACTACCCAGTACATCATATCTGGATTCCAATAAAAAATTACGTGGTATATTAAAGAGAAAAAAACAGTCTGAAGAGACAGAGCAAGCATCAGACCCAGACTCAAGATATGGCAGGGATGCTGGGAATATCAGACCAGGAATTTACAACAATTATTATTAATATGCTAAGGACTCTACTGGATAAAGTACACAATGTGGGAGAACAGATGATCATGTAATGAGAGAGATGAAAATTCTAATAAAATAATCCAAAAGAAATGCTAGAAATCAAAAGCATTATAATAA